TTAGTATTACCACTGGTCTCATCAGAAAATTATTATTATTTATTAGGAAGCTGTCATAGTGGCAGATATAACTTTTCTACAGTTCTTATTTTTGCTTAGAAGTTAAATTTGTATCATTGGTTATAAGCACTGTCAGTCTTTTCCTTGAAGTGACAGGTTCACTTCTTTTATGTTCTATCAAATACCTAAGTCTAAATAGCCATTGTCTGTAACGTTTCCTTTTTTTTCCAGTTAAAAATGGTATCCTACAAAAAATGATTATTTTTGCTGGTGACTCAGTGACGCAAGCACTTTTCCTTGAGGTGATCACTGTGCCTGGGTAGTGGCAGAAGGACTTTAGCATCTGTCTTAACACACAGAGTATTTAAGTTTATTTATTTATTCTGAGTGGGGGCAGAGAGAGAGAGAGAGGGAGAGGGAGAGGGAATCCCCAGCAGGCTCTGCACTGTCAGTGCAAAGCCCGCCATGGGGCTTGAACTCGCGAACAGCGAGATCATGACCTGAGCCCAGATCAAGAGTGGGACACTCAACCAGCTGAGCCACCCAGGCGCCCCTAACACACAGAGTATTTAAAAGATTTGTACTCAGGCTCAAGGTTTAACTAAAAGTAGTTGCTTTTGCTCCTTGATCAAGGATATCCTTAAAGTGAAACTGGCTTTTTAAAAAAAATTTTTTTAACTGCCCTGCATGGCCATGAGGAGTACAGGGACTCCTGGGACAGTTTGTTGGCATGGCCGTGACTGGTGCTAAGGAGCCTGCAGTTTAACCCACCTTTGCACTTGAATCTTCAGTGCAAGTGTCAACACAGTGAAAATGCAGATAGCATCTTAGCATTATTATGCAAATTGTTTTGCGTTTGCGGACCCCCTGAAAGGATGCTAGAGACTCCCAGGGATCTATCAACCACAGTTTGAAAATCTGTGAATTAACAACTTTAAGGAGTAAGTTGTTATTCAAACTGCTCAGAAGAATCTGGATTTTCGTACCCTGGTGTTTACTTACAGTTTAAATGTTTATAGCTCATCTTATTTAGTCCTTAGACCAAATTTCCAAAACTTCCATATTGTAGGTGTGTCAGTTTAATTTGCCGTAAAAACTGAAAGTAATAAAACTGATTTCAAATTTTTCAAGTCCTGCTTTCTCCTGATGCAGCTTAACTTCTTTTGTTCTCCTCCTTTCCTACATCCTCTGTCCTTTAGTGTGGATTAGTGAAGTTGTATTCCTTACTTTATTCACGGTGCTCATTATCATGGAGCCAGTCTATTTAAGGCATGTAAGCAGTGAGGCAAGTAAGTGTTATATCTCTAACAAACAGAAATGGTTCTGGTCACCACCACGAAGGCCCTAGTAGTATTCAGGGGGGAAGCTGAAAACTTCCATTGGCTCCCATTTGCTTTCTAAGATACATTAACCGAGAGAAGGCCGTGAACCAGTACCTGTAATGATGCACATTTAAAGTGCCTCCCCACCATGTTGTAGTGATGTTTCCCTAAGACCATGACTGGGGTGAATTAACTCTCACCTTGGCCATCTGTGAGTCCTGAGTGTGCTGTGGCTGCTTCAGAATGGCACAGAATGAAGCAGAAATCCTGCTCAAAGTGGTGCTTGGCTTTCATTGTAAGCCGTCTTACTTCCTCTTCTGAAATACTTGAAATGCCCTGTAAAATAACTCATGAGACATTTAGGTATTTCCTTCCCTGCATTTTAGACATGGTCTTTTCCTGTTTAGTTAAAAAATATCGGTATGCACTTTTAAAATGTTGACCATGGCGCCTGGGTGGCTCAGTTGGTTGAGCGTCCAACTCTTGATTTCGGCTCAGGTCGTGATATTGCAGTTCATGAGTTCAAGCCCTGCATGGGGCTCCGTGCTAACAGTACAGAGCCTGTTTGGGATTCTCTGTCTCCCTCTCTGTGCACCTCCCCTGCTTGTACTCTCTCTTTCTCTCTCTTTCAAAATAAATAAATAAACTTAAAAGAAATAAAATTAAAATGTTGGCCTAGGTTTTTTTTTTTAAGTTTATTTCTTTCTTTTGGGGAGTGGGGGCAGAAAGATAATTCTAACTAGGCTCTGTGCTGTCAGCACATGGACTATGAGATCAAGACTTGAGCCAAAATCAAGAGTCAGACGCTTAACCGACTGAGCCACCCAGGCACCCCAGACCTAGTCTTTTTTAATCCTGAATTTTAACATCAGGACAATTCTTTTTTCTAGCTGTCCCAACTGTTTTTAACTTTATATTCAAAGCAAGTTGCTATTACATTTCCCTTTGGGGCATGTATGGTAAAGAAAATGAGAATAAAATGTTAGTTAATTATGAAATTATTATATCATAACTGTGTGGCAGTCCATTGTATATAATTAGAATATTTTTTTAAATTGCTAAATATTTAAGGTACTGGTTGATCATGGAATATAGATTAAGGTAGAAGTCTAAGAGAAAGCCACTAACCAGCCTTAGTACCTATAATGATGCACATTTAAAGTGTCTCCCTCCTATGTAGTGGTGATGTTTCCCTATGTCCCCTTAAGACCACGGGCGGGAGGTGCGGAATTAACCCTCACCCTGGCCGTTTGGAAGTCCTGAGTGTGCTGTGGCTGGTTCACAAGGCACAGAATGAAAGTAAAATTAAGTAAGTAAGTGAAAGTAAGACTTGGAAAATCCCTGGATTATTCTTACACTCTGAAGGAAAAAGATAGCATTTAAATTGAGGCACTTCTTGCCACTTGTTGACCTAAGAGAAAGTATGACAAGCTTTCACATGTGCTGCTAAATGAATGAGATTTCATCTCAAAGCCAAAGAAAGCTGCATTTGCAGAAAGAAAGATGATCAGTTTTTCTGTCTTCAAATGGAGTTGTCACTAAAACAGAAAGGCATAGCGAGCTAAAAGTGGGACACGGGCAAAAGAATACATTTTTTATAAAGTCTGGTATCGTTAAGTCAGGGAACTAATCATTTAGACAGACTTCACCCCTCCATGCCCCTGTACAGTTAAGTAAAAATAAACCTGACTGAGAAGAAGAATGTTCTGAATTCCTATGTTCTGCCTTCTGGCCCATTGACTACCAGGCCTTATACACGTATATAGATGAGCCTGATTTAATATGCATGCACCTTCACTGTACTCATCCATCCGGCTATCTTTTCTTTTATTACGGTCTGCATTCGGAAGTACTTCAGACAGCTCCGGCAGGAGTGGATTCATTTTGATAATTTTCTTCTTGCTGTGGGATTTCTTTCTTCAACCTGGAGTAAGGATAGGGAGCGGAGCAGTTTGCTCCGGGCATGATCTGGGCTTATTCCCGAGTGGTGGTCAGGACTCCTGCTCTGTTCACTCAGCTGGTTCTTCTTCATGTTGAATGGGTCGGAACGGCCCCAGGTAATATCTGCCATCTTCACAAGCTTCCGTGGCTTCTCGCATTTTGTTCAGAATTTTGTTCCCCTGTTTTATCCAGTGGCTATGCCTTTGATGTGGGTAGTATGCTGCTTGGAACCCCAGTGCTTTCAAGAGCTTGCTGAAGGGAGCCGAGAGTCGGTGCTGGCACCAGTCCCAGTGTAGGGGTTCCTTAGGTGGAACCAGTGGCTTTGAACTTAGTTTAAAGGTTCAGTTACAAGATGATGTATCTTTTCCTCTTTTTTATGTGTGAGTTTGCCGACTGGAGTGCCTACATTCTGACCGAATAAAGTCTTTTTTCAGGGCAAGTTCCAGCCCCTAGATCAAGTCGTGGTGGATGACATGTTCCCAAATTGCATCTTGTTGCTGAAACTTCCTGAACTTGAGAAGTTACTTCAACATGTGACAGAAGAGAAAGGTATAGTACGTAGCCTTTGAAATGAGGCTTTGGCTGCTGGAAAGGCTGGGCGTCCGTCCCACTGAATGTAATACTTGCTCTAGTTTGGTTATAGGGGAGGCCGACATTCAGACTTGCTTCCCCTTGTCAGTACTGGTCCTCTATTCTACTGGATTGTTCAGCCTGTGAAATTCCAACCACTGGAATACAGTGGCCTGTCTCCTACAGGGCCAGGAATCGTGAAGGTTGGGCTTTGGTCTCAGTTCTTCTTTTAACTAGTCTGTGACTTTAGTTAAGTTTCTTGCTTACTTTCTGCCTTGGATTTCTCACTTGTAAAATTACATAAAATCTATACCTTCACTGAATCAAGAAGTGTTTATTGAGGGCCAACCAAGAAGCATATGTTGAGCACTAGGGTTAGATTCTAAGCTAGTTATAAATAAGACATCATCCTTTCCCTCACTAAGCTTTGAGTCTGCTGGGGACAAATGCAAGTAGGGCAATGACAGCAAGGAGTCACAGAAGTGAACTCTCGGTTTTCTGGGGATGCACAGGACAGATTCATACCCGGGCAGGTAGGGAGTGCAGAAAGTTGGGTATTGTGTTGCTCTCCTGGGGGAAATGACCTCTAAATGGATCCCTGAAGTGCTCTTAGAGCTCTAAGTGGAGCTCAAAGAATAGAAGCATGACAGGGGCATCAATATATGGGAAAGTGTCATGTTTAGGAAGCTCCAAGGGGTTCAGGGTAGCCAGCGTATAGGATGCCTGGGATGCATTTAGGTTGGTAAGGAAGGAATGGGGTAGGATGTAGGGCAAGGGCTCACATGGTGAAGGGTCTTGTATGTGTCTGACTCTACCTCGTGGTAGTGGAGTGTCGGCAGAGTTGGAGCAGGGCAGAGCTATAATGTGGAAAACGTGCTAGAGAAGCCAAGTCCAGGTCCATGGAGGCTGCCGCAGCGGTCTCGGCAGGAATGGTGGTGGCCTGAGCTTAGCGCCTGCAGAAAGTAGCACCGAAAGGGAAAACCGGCCTCATTTAGTGTTGGGTGGTAGTCAAGGAGAAGGAGGAGTCAAGGATGACTGTAGAGTTGTGCCCTGACCCGCAGTGAGGTTGGCGTCCTGGAGACACAGGTGAGAGGAGCAGGCTGAGGGTAAAGAAGAGATGAGTAGCAGATACTCTTCATTTGAATTCTGAGGGGGGGAAGTGAGTTTGAAGGGTTGAGAGTATCCCTCATACATTGTATTTACTACCTAGCAAAGTTGTTCTAAATCACAAAATAAAGCTTTTTGCTCTTAGCTTTATAGCATTGAGATTACTGAATGACCAGGAATGACCAGAATGTGAACATTATTTAAATATTGCAATTAATAGTGTCCGGTATCTACCTTAAAGAGATGTGTCTGGAATTAATAGTGTCTGGAATCTACCTTAAAGAGATGTGCCATGTCCTACAAGTAACTGAGTGCCAAGAGAGTACTGGATATATAGTAAGTGCTCAATAAGTGTTCAAACCGTTAAGGCTGCTAAATTAGAAATTTTAAATTCTTTGCTGATGTTTAAGTACTATATACACCGATACACATGTGTTTTTGAAGGTCCATTGCTAAATTATATTCAAATGGTTTAAGTAGAATGGGGATAATCAGATAACAATAAAAATATCTATCTACCCTATAATGAGAAATTATTATGTATCATTTGTGTGCCTGCTGCTTTACATATGTTATGGTATCCTTACAGTAATTTCCTTTCACTATTATTACAACCTGCATTTTTACAAATGAGGAACAGAGGCTCAAAGAGTTGAAGTTACTGGACTAGAGTCACAGAGGTAGAAGTGGTAGAATCAGGATTTGAACCCGTGTCTGACAGCAACTCTTTCCTTTCCTTCTTGCAACTGCAAAACACTTCCAGAACACTCCATTAGGATTGTCAGTTGGTGTCTCCTGTAAAAATAGAAACATCCAAAAAATCTTGTATACCCCGTCTTAAAAGGCAAAAACAGATAGGAAAGAAGACAGAGAACTTCAATAACTTAAGGAAAAGACGTCTAAGTTTCTCATCCCAACAATGAGCTTTCTTCCGTTCTCAGGTACCCATTCCCCTCTTTTTTAGTGATTGCCTTGGGTACTGGTTGCTTGTTTGAATTTGGTTTACTGTCCATTTATAAGTTAGTGTTTGGTTCTGTTCTGTGTTTTACTGCTAGGATTTTCTTTTTTTTAAACAATTTTTTTTTTCAACGTTTATTTATTTTTGGGACAGAGAGAGACAGAGCATGAACGGGGGAGGGGCAGAGAGAGAGGGAGACACAGAATCGGAAACAGGCTCCAGGCTCCGAGCCATCAGCCCAGAGCCCGACGCGGGGCTCGAACTCACGGACCGCGAGATCGTGACCTGGCTGAAGTCGGACGCTTAACCGACTGCGCCACCCAGGCGCCCCTAGGATTTTCAAAATAAGTAACAAAGAGGACTGCTAGGGAGTGGTCAGGTGATATCCATGAGAAGGAGCAAAGAGAAAGAAGAGAGCTGATTATCTTTAATGTCCTTCTTTCCCCAGGCACTGTGCAGACAGCAAAACCTGAAACACTCACATTCCCCAGCCAGATGTTTTGATATTAGACTCCAGATGCTGTCTCAAAAGTCTATGGCATTAAAGACCTGGTTAAGCCTGCTAGGTTTATGACAACCTCCCCCTGCTCGAGTCGTCCCTGCCGTCCCTGTGTCCCTACCGAGTAAACCCAGCCATGGTTGTTTGCATCCCAAATGATGATGGTGGTGACCTTAGTTAACATCGCCTGCTTTGTTAGTGAAGGAAATGATGTGTCTCTGTTTGCTAGCTCTGGGGCCCAGTATATTTTTTGCCAAAGAAGCTCACATTCAGTGGAGGGATGACAGAGGAAAGGCCTAATAAAGGCTTATGAACTTCATCTTGAGTGTAACACTGTTTCGTATTGCAAGCCAGAGCTGCGCTGGGCTGTCCAATGTGATTAACAGGAAGAGCCAGGAAAACTTACCTGATTAAAATACCCCAAGTACAGTTGCCAAGTTTCTATCCCCAAGAGGCAGGAAAAAAAAGAGACCATATGAGTTTCTCCGTTATGGAAAACATTGAGAAAGTAGATGTGAGAATGTGCTCTAGGCAGTTTGTTCAACAATGCATCAGGGAAATTCAAGATTGTGAGCCGATTACCCAATTGCTGAACATGTTATTTAATTGTGGACTCACTTTTATTCAATCTTTATTTTGTAAACCCAATCTTTCCAGATGTTTGAGACCAGTTTTATCGGCACCAGACACATTAGGGAAAGAAACCTTTCCAGCATGTGCACATATTATCTAACGCACCAGCTCTTGCAAATATTAAATTTAAGACATGAGCAAACATGTTATGGTATTTTTCATAAGTGTGGGTAAATTCATAATTGTCAGCCTTTGTGGATATTTTGAACTCCCTTGCTTATCAAAATTTGATAATTTCAAAATTAAGCAGTAGTTTAGCACTTGATCCTTTTGTAGCATTCTGGGATATCCGAGCTGGATGTTTTTTAGTGACCATCTTGTCCTGGGAATGTTTAATTAGAAACAAATTTATAATTAAAACCTTCCTAGAAAAACTCCTCCAGGCCCAACTAGCTTCATTGGCGAGTTCTGCCATACTTTAAGAAGAAATAATACAGTGGAATAAAAACATACCATTCATAATATTATCAAAGATCATGTAGTTTTAGAAATAAATATAACACAGTATGTGTAAGACCAGTACACTAGATATTATAAAATATTGCTGAGAAATTAAAGAATTAAATAGAGAGATATACCATCTTCATGAATTTGAAGACTCAATATCGTTAAGATGTTCCTTTTCTCCAAATTGATCTATACATTTAATGTAATGCCTATGAGGCTTTTTTTTGATGGGAAGTAGAAATTGATGAGCTGATTCTAGAATTTATATGAATTTGCAAAAACCTGCAATATCCAGAACAATTTTGAAAAAAGAAGAACAAAGTTGTAGAACCTACACAATCTGATGTCAAGACTTACTCTAAAGTTATAATAACCAAAGTGTGGTATTGGTTTAAGAGTAAATATATAGATAATGGAATAGAATAGAGAATGTAGAAGTGGACCCACACTTACATAGTCAATTGAATTTTTGTCAGTGGTGTCAAGATAATGGGAGAAAAGACAGTCTTTCCAACAAATGATCTAGAAAAACTGGATATTCATATAAAAAACAATGTTAACCCTCACCTCACAGTCATACAGAAAAATTAACTCAATATGGATCACTAACTTAAATGAAAAATCAAAATTATTGAACTTCTAAGAGGAAACTTTGTGACCTTGGGGATAGGCGAGGATTTCTTAGGACACAAACCCACTAACCATAAAAATTGTAAATGTAACCATAAATTACATTTCATCAAAATTAATATCTCCTGTTTTCTGAAAGATACCATTAAGAAAAAAGAAAAGAGAAGTCATAGTTGAAAGAAAATGTTTACATGGCACATCTGATAAAAGATATGTATCTCAAATATATAAACTCTTAACGCAGTACTAATATACATATACAGCCTAGTAAAAATGCAGCAAAAAGTTTGAACAGACACTTGGCAAAAGAAGATTTATAAATAGCCCATAGGCACATGAAAAGATGTTCAATATCATTAGTCACCAGGGAAATGTAAACTAAAACCACAAGGAAATGTCATTAGCATTCACCAGAGTGGCGTGAAATAAAAAGAAAAACTATAAATTGAGGAACAACTGGAACTCACCTACCTGGTTGATGGAAGCATAAAATAATATAACTACTTAACAATTTCTTATGACCCAGTAATTCTAATCCTAGAGATTTACCCAAGCCTTACAAAAACATATCTCCATGTAAAAAGACTTGTGCAAGGATGTTCAGAGCAGCTTTTTTGTTTTTATAGCAACTTTTCCAAAATAGCCCCAAACTGGAAAAAATCGAATGCCCTTCGGTTGGTGAGTGCGTAAACAAAATGTAGGATTATCCATACACAGGATACTACTCCATAATACAAAGGAAGGAACTATTACTAGCTGCAACACAATGGGTGAATCTCACAGAAATTATGTGGAGCAAAAGAAGATGATCACAAAAATATACTTACTGTATGATTCCATTTCCATGAAATTCTAGAATCAAGCAAAAACTAAACTCTAATGACGGCAGATCAGTGGTTACCTGAAGTCTGGGTAGGTGTAAAAGCACTGACTACAGAACGGCTCAAGAGAACATTTTGGGGTGACAGTTACATGACCATATGTATACATTTGGCCAAACTCCTCAACTTGTACACTTAAAATGGGTGTATCAACCATATGCACATTATTCCTAAATAAAGGTGATTTTTAAAAAACTAGTTACTGATCCAGCACAAGAAGCTAAGCCTCCTCATTTCTGATACAGTGTGTTTTGTGTTTTGTTTTGTTTTGTTTTGTTTATTCCTACCCCACAGCTCCCACAAGGTAATGCTGGAATCCAGTGATAGAATGTGGGAAACAAGGCAGGAGTGAGTAATGGCTTTGAGATTCAAGCCTGGTTGACCAGGAGGATGGTTTGGGAGGACGCTGAACTGTCTGTCTTTAGATACAGAGCCTCAGCTCAAGCCTTTGGACTTCCTGATTGGGTTTGTTTAGTCTGAAACAAAATGAACTCCCCCCCCCCGACCCCCCTGCAGAGAAAGGTATAGTTAGCCTTGGAGCAGGGGGAAGCAGAGCCAGGAAAGAATCAGAGGAAAAGTCGTCAAAGACAGAAGAACCAAGAGGAAAATTTTTGTAGAACCTAGAACCATGGAGGAGTTTTTCCCACAAAGAACAAGGTCAGAAGTACTGAGAAGGGTGAAGACCTAATTGATCTCAATAAAATGAGTATCAGATCCACAGCTCTGAAGTCATCTGGAGTAGGAATCTGGTGCCTCTGCTTACTAGCTCAGTGACTTTGGACAGTCTAGTTAACTGCACTCTAACCCAGTCTAGGAAGGTAGGGACAAACAGTGGTTTTGACCTGAGATCTATTCTGAACATTCAATGAGAAATGTATATAAAGAACTTACAAAGGCTTGACTGTATATTTGTTTCTGATGCTGTTATCATTAACAAGCTGTCATTTAATCTTTTTTTAAAGTAATATTAAGTATTTGTTACATGCCAGGTGCTGTGCTATTGGCTTTGTGTGGATCATGTCACATAATAGGTGACACCGTGCCCTGGGTGGGTTGGAACCCAGGCAGTATGGCTCAGAGCCTGTGGTCTCCGCTTCTTCTGGTAGAGTATTAAGGAAGGGCCTACAAGGGGCTCAGGGAGTGGGAGAGAGGAACGAAACTGTGGCAGATTGTGGAATGTTCTTGCAGGAAATGCGGAGGTGGAGGCCAGAGAGAAGTGAGCAGCCGAGTCAAGGTGGGATTTCTTAGGAGAGACCTGCACGCTGAGCTTCTCTGGAGATTTGTCTCGGGCAGTGACCAGAGCTTCTTTAGAAGTTTTAACCCATGCAGCAGCATACATTTATTAAGTGATTGCTGTATGCTCTCAGAATGCCCCTTACTCTTGCACATGGGCAGGACACTGTCGCCAGGGAAGTCGAGTCCAGCCTCGCCTGGTTCCACAGCAGACTGTTGCCCCCGGTGGTCCTGGCTCCAGCATGACAGACTTTGCCCCTTGGAATTCTCGGACTCCTGACAGTGCCACTTGCGGCGCTCTCCTTTTCATTACGCCAGTGACACACGCCGAGGGGATGGACGCAAAGGCCCAGCCCGTGCTCCATCATGCCTCCTGTTGCCCACAACGTGAACAACCGCAGGCTGCAATGGGGAGGAAGACTACAGGTGCTGAGGCCAGCCCCTCTCCCATCTAAGCCGTCCCAGGAATGCAAGCAATTTAACAGACTGCAGGAAACGATCCCTCCCTAAGCATTTCCACTTCCCACAATGATTATGGAAGAAAGAGAAATTGTCATTCTGCATGGCTAGCAGCATCACATGGGGCAAGTCTGCATCTGGCCTTAGGATATTGAAGGGTCCCCAAGATAACTCCTGCACTGGGCAGGAGGCTGGGAGTGCAAGCCCCGCCTCTGCTGACTGCACAGAAAGCAAGAAACTCCATGAATGAAGTGTTACCAAGGAACTAACAGCTCAGGTCACAGTATGCAAAGCTGGGTGGATTGTAGGGTGGGGGGGCAGTATAACTTCCAAGAGGGGAACCTTTTATCCCCCATTACGGGCCAAGTCAAGCCTATCATAAATCTAAATTCCCCTGAATAGCTATGGTTAGACTGGTGATGTGTTCAAAGATAGGCATATCTTTTCTTCCTTCTCACTAATCCCACCAGGACAGTACTAAGTAGTTAACAAGATTTTTTTTTTTCCCCTGAATGTTTGCAACACACTTCATATGCATCTCCTTTTAGTTTTTGTTTTCTTTCTTGAGATTTCCATTTTTATTTTAGAAAAGAAGTCTTTCGGGGCGCCTGGGTGGCTCAGTTGGTTAAGCATCTGACTTTGGCTCAGATCGTCATCTCACGGTTTGTGAGTTCGAGCCCCGCGTCAGGCTCTGTGCTGACAGCTCAGAGCCTGGAGCCTGCTTCAGATTCTGTGTCTACCCCTCTCTCTGTTCCTCCCCCTCTGACACTCTGTCTCTGTCTCTCTCTGTCTCTCAAAGATAAATGAACATAAAAAAAATAAACATTAAAAAAATTTTTTTTTAAAAGGAAGAAAAGAAGTCTTTCATTGAAAACACTGAGGTAAGCTTAAACTTATGTCGACAAATGAAGGCTGCTTGGCATGGTTCATTTGCTGAGTTTTAAAAATCACAGATTTTCTACAGATTTGTTGGTAACTTTTTTCCAGTTTTACTGAGAAATAGTTGACACACATCACCTTATAAGTTTAAGATGTACAGCATAATGGCTTGATTTACATATATTATGAAATGATCCCCACAATACGTTTAGTTAACATCTATTGTCTCCTATAGGTGCAATAAAAAGACAAGAAAGAAATTTCTCTTTGGGATGAGAACTATTAGTATAATTTGATGATTTTCTTAAATTCCCATTCATTTAACGGTTGGATGAAACCTGAGTCACCCAAGTTCTGGCTTGGGATGATTTTTTAACTTCTCAAGTATGTTCTCAGGCTTAGAGATTGACTTTTTTAAGAATATAAACCGTTACAAAACATTTTTAAATTATTGTGGATGTTACATACATATCTTGTATACGATACAACCTTATGAGTCTATTTTTTTTGCTTAATCCACGCTTCTGTTTTGTTTTGTTTTTCTCCTTAATCCAGAAATAGACAAAAAGAAATATTACAAGTACAGCAAGGAGAAGACGCTAAAGTGGCTGGAAAAAAAGGTAGAGTACGCCTCCAGTACCTTACAGCAGAAAAAGTTTTAATGCTCCTTTTAAAAAATATTTACAGAAGGAGGTAAGTGTGAATCTAAAGGGCCATGTTGTTTATCCAGCTAAAATACAGAAACTGTATAGAGATACCCAAATACTCTTCATCCTCCCTAACTCATGTATCTCTGGGTTTAGCTCCATGTTTTCCTTTGACCTGCATCCCCATTTCCCATGATCCTCACCCCTGAATGAAAGAAGTTCCCACCATTTGGTGATGGATATTTGAGTCTTACAAGCCAGATAATACCAGGAGTGACACGCACTTACTGCTTTCAGTCCCTGTCTCAGAGGTTGCTCACACAGCGAGGCAGGGGGCTGAGGCAGACGGGATTCAGGCCTAGGGGAAGTGTGTTTCACCTTCAGCATCCGGATGCTGGAGGGAACTTAGTGATCCTAACATCCCAGCACTAATCTCAGGTCTGGGGCAATGGTTTTCACATAGATTCTGTGGGTCACAACCAGTATTTCTCTTGAATGGAATGGGATTGGGGTAGGATGGGATGGGATAGGATAGGATAGGATGTATTAAAATGTAGCACAGAGTAAGGGCAAGTATTAACTATGGTTCTATGAAGCATATATATGTGTTGAAGTACTGGGTTGCTGGGTATTGCTTACTGTAGGTGTAGTAGAAACAAACTCCTTTGAAAGCCACTGGTCTAAGAATATTGTGGACTTTCATACTGATTAAGAATCTCACCAGTCTATGTCTACTGATGACAGAGTTTTTCAAGTTCAGTATAGTACTGATTCTGAAGATTCTCTTCTGTCTTGTATGTGGAAAACACACTTGTCGTACCATGTTACTGGGCACACGGGGAACCCAGAAACATGGAAGTGAACCTTGCAGAATTAATCAGGCTCCTACTATACAAAATAGTGGAAAGATTTTACAAGTGCCCCCATGGTTCAGTTTTCATTTGCATTAGTGGTAGGTGAAAAATAAGGGTGAGTGCTGAGCAGGGTCTCGGCATTTAGGTTTTGTTGTTAGCAAGTGATGATGATGTGAATCGCAAATTCACATGTATATTTATCAATTGTGTTTCTTTTCTTAAATTCCTAGGAAGTGGGATATTTATATGATTTATTCCATTTAGAAAAAAATTATTGCATATAAACTTTGTGCCAGGCTCTTTTCTAAAGGCTTTACATATATGAACTCATTTAAGCCTCACCACAATACTGTGCATTAGGTACTATTTTTGTCCCCATTAGATAGAGGCACAGAGAGGTTAAGTAAGTAGTCCATGGTCACAGAGCACAGCCAAGTAGCCTGACTCCGGAGGCAGTGCTCTCATACTGCGTAGGCATTTAGAGGTCCATGTTTTGACATCATCCCCAAATGCTGCCACTGTTGCTCAACTCCTGTCCAAATGTGCATCTCTCTCTCATCTTCTGGTATCTGGTCAAGACATTCCTAGGTCCTCAGTTACTTCTTCCTGGGTCTTAAATGGATCGAGGATCATCTGGAAGGTTGTGGATCTCTAAAGTTCCTTGGAAATACCCTGATGTTTCCCTTTTGGTTACTTTATAGGTTAATCAGATTGTGGCAGCCTTAAAAACCAATAATGTAAATGTCAGTGCCCGGGTACAGGCAACTTCATTTTTCTCTGGTGACCAGGCTTCCAGTGACAAGGAAGGTAAGGAAATCAGTTTTGTTAATATTATGTATTTATTTATTTATTTTTAATTTGTGAGAGAGAGAGAGAGAGAGAGAGAGAAAATGAGCATGAGTGGGGGAGGGGGCAGAAGAAGAGAGAGAGAATCTTAAGCAGGCTCCACACTCAGCATGGAGCCTGATGCAGGGCTCGATCTCAAGAATTATGAGATAATGATCTGAACCAAAATCAAGAGTCTGACACTCACCCAACTGAGCCACCCAGGCACCCCGGTAAATCACTTTATCAGAAATTACTTTTGCCTGGAGTAAGCTGCTGATTTACAAATGCCTGCCTTA